GGGGGGGGGAAAGTGTTGCACAGTGAAAATAAAATCAAGCAGCAAAGAAAGTGGATTTTGATCATGTCATTGACATCTTTTCGTTTCGCAAAGCAAGGAAAGCTATGCTATAATTATAGGGGTTTAGGGAAAAAGCCACCCGGAAATAAGACCCCCAGATTTGGCAAAGGCAGGGTCACATTAAAGACTCATTCATATTTGGGACATTTAGTGACATTGATGCCATGTAATTCGATCAACTTCATCGAAGTGTTCTGAAAAAAATAAAACAAGTCCAACTTCAACCCATTCCTTAAAAATGAACGGCCAACTCCCAGCAGGAAATCTTTCGATTGCGGCCGTGCTGCAGGATGAGGTGATTCCACTCTCTGAACGCTTCTTGGAATTTGCTCTCAAATAACAATTGCTCTGGGTTCTTTTTTTAAAATTTTATCTCCCTCCTATCCACTTTCACACCTCAACCCCCCCCCGCCTTATTTACGGCCCTGACTTTCAGATGCCGAAGCTCGTCGTTCTCTCGAGGTCCACCAGCGGCGCAGCGCTCGGTGATCACGTGGGTGACCGGATCACCGTGTGGAACGCGTTATATGAACACTGGCGAAAATGCGGGAGGCGACCGAGGCGATTTCTGCGGATGCACGCGCATTTCGCATAAAATAGAAAATTCTTTCGCGAACTTTCTTGAACCGGCGGAGGAGAAGCGGGAAATCGCTGCACCTCCTTTCGTGCTTTGCATTCACGAGAGAAATAAATTTGCATGAATATAATACTCTGCCCTGCAAACGATCCCGGACTCTCCGCGTTTCACAGGCGGCCGGATGAAACAGGTTCCACGCGAGTTCGCGATGGCGACACGAGCTAATCGGATGGAACCGAGCCTCGAAAGTACACGTTCGCTTTTCTTTTTTTCCATAAATATTCACTCAATTAAAATACCAATTAAAATAATCTTAATTCCTGCAAGTATTAAGAAATGAAGCCTCTCGCTGAATTCGCACAGCCCGCACGAAATACAACGAGTCGACACGAGAGCCATTCATCCGTTTCCGCCAGACATATGGACGATTTTTTATATTTTTTAAAATAATTTATTCTCGTTCGTCAGAGCGAAAATCGAGGCGCCGAGACTCGATCAATCGTGGATTTTAAAGCGCGAACACGGCGGGGCTGACAGGCGAAGCTCCCACCTCATAAATCTCCACTTCCCGAGGGATCCAACGCAATTTCCAGGAGGGGGAAAAAAAATCGCCCTAATCGCATCCATCGAGGGACGCGGTTTGTTTATGCGCGGGAGGCGAGTGGACCGGGGGCCATCTGAGGCTCGCGGAGGAGGTAGTTAGGGAAGGATGGAGGGTGGGGAAGAAGGATGGAGGATGCGTCCCGCGGGAGGAGGGAAGAGGGAGCGAGAGGAGGCATGTGGGGGGGCCGGGGCTTAAAGCCAATTGGGGATCTACACCTGCTCCTCTTCTGCGGGGGGATCAGCCGTGAAATTGATTCCCTCGCCATGCATTTCGGGTGTCTTTTTCCCCTCGTCGAGTCGCTTTCTCGGTCGGGCCGCTTCTGCCGGTTTTTCGTTCCGTCGGAATTTCGGGGAGATGCTGGGATATCCGCGGATTTTTCTGCTTAATCTGCTTAACAAAAATATTTTTGGCACATAATGGGATTTCCTTTATGTGAGCATCGAATCTCGCATCCTAACATATGGGCAAGACGGGACGAGAGGTTTTCTCGCCTCGCACAATGAAAGCCTCCAGCTTTGACGAGATTGAATTTTCACAAAGCGGTGATTAGAAAGAGATTAGGTCCCGAAACGGGACCATCTGCGGGGAGTCCCGGGACTCGTGCCGGTCGCGTGTCCCGTCCTCCTCTCAAAAAAAATGTCCCACAATGCCGGATCCCACGATGAGAAACACGGTTTATTCCGATGAAACTCGTGCGGGCACGCCACTCGAATACAAATCTCAATGAGGGTAAGAAAATAGAGTTGAAATAGTTCCTGACGTATACCGCATACTTATGTTAAGCAAAAATCCTGTCACACTCGTCTGAAAAAGAAAGACATAAAAATTCATAAAAGTCTGAAATGCCTCGTTACTCGACTGGAACCGGTTTGTCCACACACTTCCATTGCTTTTTATCTTCTCTTTTTTTCTGGCAGAGTTCTACTATTATCCTTCAAGTTTTTACCAAAGTAAAAAAGTCGGTTCTAGAATAGGACGAAGGCGACTGCAGTATAAGACGAAGGCGTTTCAAGGATAGGGCGAAGCCGGTTTCAGGTCAGGAAGAAGGTGGTTCACGACAAGAAGCAGGTTTCGGGACAGGAAGAAGGCGGTTCGTGACAAGAAGGCGGCTTCGGGGCAGGAAGAAGGTGGTCCACGATCAGAAGGCGGCTTCAGGCACTCCGCACGACCGTATGCGAGAACTCCCCGGTCGAGGCGGAAGAATGAAGCGGGAAATCCGCCGCCTTCAGCGTCCCGTCCGCCAATTCCCCCTCGAACATTTCCCGTAGCTTCTTCCGGTAAGTTTTCCCGGCGGGGCTCGTCACGAGTTCCGAGACGAAGCACGCGCCTCCCGTCAGGTGGTACGCCGCCGACATTTTCTCTGAACGAATAAATAAATCGTAAATAATCAAATGAATTACACGCATTCGAGTCACGAATTATGGAAATATTTGTATTTAAGTAGTTTACGTAAATAACTCGGTATAAACTACATACGATATCTTGCAAAAAGTTATATATTGTAGAATCGATCGCAAGTCGCTCACTTTCGACGAGTCGGATGAAGTCGATCTCAGCGGGAGGATCCTGGAGGGACTTGCAGGACTTCTTGAGGACGATGAAGGCCCTGGGGACCTGGCACTCGATGCCGGGGATGGAGACGCCGGCCACGCCCACCTGCTCCACCGCCGGGTCGTCGTACAGGACGTTCTCGATCTCCGCCGGCGACACCTGTGGGGGTTGCCGACGGGTGATGGGGGGTTGCCGACGGGTGATGGGGGGTCGCCCCGGATGCCCCGAGGCGTCTCGATCGGCGTGGAATCGAGGAAGCGATCGGGAACCGGTTCCCCTCGCATGTCGCAACTGGATGGACCGAGGGTTTTCATCCAGTCGCAGAGAAAAGATTTGGAATCGGCGCTGTCGCGCTCGCTTCGAAGCATTTTTCTACCGTTCAGACCGATTGCAACTACGGCGAGCTGTTGAGGGCAATTCAGAAAACATTAAAACGTTCGCGTTCCCTTAACTTCTTGGATTGACGTTTCGCAACCATCAGCTGAATACCTACTGTAAAACTCCGTGCTTACGAATAGGCAGGGGACCGAGGACTTCATTAAAAATCCTTTTTTAAATTCATTTCATAATTTGTCTTAAACCTGCGCGTAATCGATCCCGACTAAACACGCCACTGCTCCTCGTCTCCTCGTTGGAAGCAGGGGGTCGAAGGAGGTCTATGCTCTTGGGCCTGGAGGAGCTGCGTCACCGACACGAAGCGACACGGGCCCGTGCTATCGGTTCATCCTCCCCTCCGGTCGCGTTCGTGTTGACGAGTCGGATGGGAGAGGGGGAGGGGGTAGGAGCGTGCGAATGCACGTGAATGCGCGTGAAAGCGCGCGAGAGACAGGAGGTGCGTGTGGGCGCCTGCACGCAGAGGGCAAGCGAGACCCGGGGAAAGGTCGTGCCGACTTTTCCTGCTTCGCGTTCCTCTTCCCTCGCTCTCGCGGGATTACCGGTCTCCGTTGGAAAATTCGGAAAACTTGAGGCAAAAAATTCAGCTGTGTGCGGTTGGGGGGGACGACGACACGGTTACCTTTCATTGTCATTAAAATTCACAAAAAAATACATAGGAATGAATTATTCAGTCGAAACGAGGAATTCGTTTGAATATAACAAAAAAAAAAACACTGAAGGGGAACGGGGACGACCCCAGAATCAGCGATGGTCAGAGATTCCTGAGAGTGCATCGCGGACGTGCCTCGAAGACGTCATGTGCCAATACTTCAATAAACGATACCATCTCTAAGCCCACCAGACACACATTCCCCCCCCCCATCTATCTATCAATCTATCTTCGGGACTGCACGTGAATCCCGCAATCGATCCGGAATTCCAAATCCAGAATTCCAAATCCGGAATCCCCCCCGGAAGGAACCCCACAAAAAAAAAACCCACGTGAATGATGCGCGAGTTGAGGTAGACGGGAATGATGTCCTTCACCCGGTCCTTCACGTAGAAGTAGCCGTCTTCCCCGTAGTAGCCGAAGTCCCCCGAGCGGTACCAGCCGTCCGCGTCCAACACCGCCGCGGTCTCCTGCCCCGGGCGTATCGCACATTTTTTTCAACGTATGCATTTCGAGTGATGACATTAATGACATAGATAAATAATAAATAAATAAATATAAGAAATAAGAAATATATAAATAACGTAAATGAATTATAAAAATGCATTATAAATAATAAAAAATAATACATCATGAGTTAACTTTAAAATTTGTTAATCATTTCTCTTTTTTCCCAGGTATGAAATTTTATTGCATATTATAAATTACCTTAGCATTGTTCAAGTAACCCATCATGATGCAGGGAGTTCGGAAGCACAATTCCCCTTCCTCGTTCGGACCCAGTACCTCTCCCGTCTCCACGTCGAGGACCTGAACGGCGAACGCCGGCTGGCATCAGTCGGCCTCGGGGGGATCAAGGGATCGAGGGATTAAAGAGGGATTAATTTTACTTTGGCTTGGACGAAGGGCGCGAGGACGCCGACGGACTCGATCTTGTGGAAGGGCTTGTCCGTCCCCGTGCACAGCCCGGCCTCCGTGCTTCCGTATGCCTTTACGCAAGTAAACGTATGAATGAGAACGATAAGGAAATTTAAAAAATAAAAATAATCTGAGTATAATAATGGGCAAATAATTTTTTTTTCAAAGCATGAATAAATAAATAAATTAGTAATGAAGGAAAAGCAAAAACTAAGAAAAAAAACTTTAAAATAAAATAAAAATAAAAGTAAAAAATAAAAAATAAAAAATAAAAAACAAATATCGAGAAACGTTAAATAAAAACGTTGGGATCGAAACGAGCTTCGACGGATCGACGAACGATCCCGGAAAAATGACCTGGATGAACTCCTTGACGGAGGGGATCTTCCGGAGGAGGTCCTTCTCCATGGAGCCGGGGAGCGTGGCCCCCCCGACGGAGATGCGCTGCACGTGGCTCAGGTCCAGGCTCTCCAGGTCCTGGCTCTTGCACAGGTGGATCACGTCTTTCGGGAACAGGGTCAGACTCGTCGGCTAGGGGGGGAGTCTCGGATCATAATGGGTCTAAATATATTTTGTATTCGATGTATACTATAGTACGTGTTGTTATGCATGCAACTATGTACTTAATTCGATGGGTTTTGGTAGTGCCTGTTACCTTTCTTCGACTCCCTCCGTTGCGAAATTCGAAATCTTCGTATTCCTCGCCATGAAAAATCAAACTGGCTCTCATTCACTTAGGCTTAGATTACTCTCTCCGGTCCCGTCTCCCAGTGTTGCCGCAATGTTTAAATGGATTTCCCCCCCCCCCCCCCCCCCCCCCCCCCCCCCCCCCCCTCCCTCCCTCCCTCCCTCCCTCCCTCCCCCCTCCTTCCTCCCTCACCTTGTACTCGAGGATGGCCGGGACCAGCATGTCCTGCCGGTAGTCGGAGAAGTGGACGACGGTCTGCCCCGCGTAGACACCCCAGAGGCAGAAGAGAATGCCCCCCATGTGGCAGTGGTTCATGGGCGTGAGGATGACCTCGTCTCGCTCGCCCAATCGCTCCCGCGGGTCACTGAAGGTCGAGAATGCATAATTAAGACTTTCAACAAAAAAAACTTCATATGCTTAATACAATTTTCATTTAAGTTTTGCATTAATTTCGAGACAAACATCACGAGGAAACAAAACCCGACCCGACGATACACGAACGCGTGTTTACGCGAAGAACGAGCAAGAGCACGCCTGCATCGTGTCAGATACGAAAAATAAAAGAACGGATGCGTCCGGTCCCGATCCGGACGCGGAAGTCCGCGGCGTCGCTCACACGAGCAGGTTGTAGACGAAGCCGAGGGTGGCGACGTGGTTGCGCAGGATCGGCTTCGGCGGGCCCGTGGTCCCGCTCGAGTAGAACACGAAGGGGACGTGCGTCCGGGGGTCCACGTCCACGTCCGACGGGAACGCTGCCGTGGGGGGGAGGAGAGCGTCGGAAAATGTCACGTCTCTATTTGTTCGCGGGATTTCAGTCTGAAGATTATGATTATGATGAAATGGTTGGGGGGGGGGGGGGAAATGGTAATAGGACGAAAAACTATTTAAAACAATAAATAAAACAAATAAAGCAAAAAAGAAAAATAAATAAATAATATTTTAAATGAAAAATAATGAAATGAAATAGAAGGCAAAAACAAATTGATTCGTACCAGATCCGTCATCTTGCAAGAGATCCTGGACGCACATGAAACCCGAGACCAGGTCAAAGGTCATGACCTGCGGAACATTCCTGCACGGCCTCATGGCCTCGGAAACCTTCTCCGAATCCTGAGCGGAGCAGACGACCAACGCCGGCCGACAGTGCTCCACGTGACGCGACAAATTTTCTACATAAACGTCAAAATTGTATATATAAATGTATAAAATTATCAAATGTAAAGATAAATAAGAATAGAACACATTTAAATTATACTTGTAATAAATATAAATAATACCTATCATAAATAAGTAATACAAATAAATAATAATGCATCCTAATACGATAAATAAATAATACAAATAAATAATAATGCATACAAACATGATAAACAAATAATACAAATAAAGAAACATCCACAAGGAGCAGGAGGAAACGACACCCCTACCGAAGTCGTACGGCGGCACGTTGAGCACGGTGACGCCGATGGCGGCACACGCGTGGAGCACGAGGAAGTACTCGCTGTGGTTCCAGGAGTGGATGAAGATGGCGTCGCCGTGGGCGAGGCCGAGCCGGGTGAGGGCGCTGCCGGCGCGGGTCACCAGGGTCTCCCATTCGCTGTAGAGGTAGCGGCGCTTCGTGCGGGCGTCTTCCTGTTGGCGAGTCCCGGTTAATTCATTTTCGTTTTCATTAGATGTTGAATTATTATTTTTTAATATTTTATTTTATTTGTTAATATTTCATTTTTTAATATTTTATTTTATTTGTTAATATTTCATTTTTTAATATTTTATTTTATTTGTTAATATTTCATTTTTTAATATTTTTTTTTAATCGTATTAATTATTGGTGATTTTGAAATCCGTGTTATTTAATTTATTTTTACTTATTATTTATACTTATATTAACCGCACGTTTATTACTTTGATGCGTCTTCTTCACGTCACCATCTTGATTTATTTTCGGAGAGAAGTCCAACGACTCTTCCATTTATCATATTATATACGATGCAAATGCCGGTTTGACCGCTCGGCAGTCGCTCCGTCTCGACCGACGCGCAGTTTCCGTCGAAGGTTCTTTCGTTTTCGGATCCGCCGAAAACGGCGACGACGGGCGACAAGAGTGCAACGTTGCCGACAAAAAGCAAAATGCTATTTCGATCGCGCGGCGAATATAACTCGCGATCCCCGCGACGACACCCCTCGTCGGTTTGGCGGGGTTCTTCATTTCGCGGCTTCACCTTCGGAAGCCCCTCGTGAATTGTCTTCGCTTCGTTTTTTTTTTTCTTCAAGGATGCACTTTCACGTCGCTGCGACTCCTCGCGCATCCTTCGGGGCATTTCGGGTCCGGAATACATTAACCGAATCCAGCCTCTCGCATTCCGGTCGCGTCTCACCGCCACCGATGACGTCATCACCGTCCCCACTCCGATCGCCGCAATCGCACGAACCCGCCCCGACCCCCAAAGCGAGCCGCGCGCCCGAACGCGAACGCGAAACCCGTAACGCGAATATGAGAACCCCGCCAACTCACCAGCCAGACGGCATCGCCCCTGTGCGCCAGCCTCTCCCGGATGCATTTAGTGATGAATCTCCAGACGGTGATCTCGGGGATCTCGACGGGCCTCGCCCTGGGACTGTGCACGACCCCGCCCGACGTCGAGAGCTCGCGTCTGATCCGCATGCTCGCACCGAGAGGACTGAGGGAGTCACCAGGGAGGCCGTGAGGGAGGCAGCGAGGGAGGCGATGGCACGCCTCGGGGCTCGAGCAGGCGCCGCCCTCCCGCCATCTGGGTCAAGTTCGGTCCGCTCGACACCCAAACAGGCGAATGCGAGTTGCATAACTCGATCACGCGGGAGAGGCGTGCGGGCGACGTGGATCCGGACACGTACGCAGCGAGAGGACTCGCCGAGTACGTGATCCGCACCGTTTCCGGTGCAGGTTTTCAAGGTCCCCGCATCCGAGTCGCATCCCGGCACGCGATTCGTCCCTTCGACCTCGACCGCATCACGCGCGCGACTGCGAGTCGACGCGGAGGCGGTCCCGCGCGCGCGCGACATCTCGCTTCTCACCCGCGAGGCGTGCCCGTCGCGCGCGCGACATCTGGCGTCTCCTCCGAGAGTCGGGCGGGAATCGGGTCAGTCTCGCCGCGACCGGCGGGCGTGCAGCGTCTCTCTCGACCGACGCGACGGATACAGGTGAGAGATCTTCCTTCTCGAAAGCGCGTCGGGATGTTTTCATCCTCGTACCGTTCGTGGTAATATCATAATAATAATAATATTCCCCAAGGAGACCAGAAAACGTATGAGGTTCCTCCTCGCCGTGCGATTTCGAGCCGGGAAAAACGAAGATGGAAGAAATGAAGAAGATTCGATGCTTTCCACTCTGCCGACTCCGGGACGTCGGTCGTGAGCCTTCCAAAATCCCGTTCGGGTTATTCAACCTTTTTTGCTCGCTGTCCAAGACTTCTTTCAATTGCATGCCCGATGCGGACCTGATGAGAGCCATATGACCTGATGAGAGCCATATGACCCGATGAGAGCCATATGGCCAGATGGAGGCCCAGAACAGACCGACAAGAATCCTGACGCATCTCGTATAGAGCATGGTTAATTAATCATTTTTTGGAAAAAGTGATGAATGATGACATTTTCTAATTAATCAATGAACTGATTAAAAATGATTAAAAATTAAATAGTTCTGAAATAGGTAAAAAAAAAAAGGTCAATGAAACGCAAAACAAAATGTGCAGTACTTCGCACTTCATACCTCTGCAAAAGTTCCTCCCTCATGCGCCATTCCAACAATTAAAAATGACTGAAGATAACCGCCAAATTTTGAGAGCCTAGGCCCTAGATCACAAGCATTAGAATTTTGCTTACCTAAGTTCATCTACTTAGGCTGTGCCTATCCATCCAAATCCTACTAATCTACACTAATAAGTAAACAATGATATTAAACCACTGCGCTCGGTTGATTTCATGCAAAAGAGTACAGATAAATACCCTGTATATTCCACATAAATCGCAAGAGGAACCTTGGACACGCCCACTCACTTATCTGCAGCTGAGCGGGAAATTCGAAGCAAGTTTATGTTGAAATGCGAGGTATGGGTGGGGGAACTGTCCTGGGAAATGCGGAGTAAATTGTTGGTACAAATTCATATGCCACGTTACAAAGTGTGTGATAAAATGATGCTGAAATTATAGGGAAATTAAGCATTTTTCTTCATTTTCCAAAATATTTTTGATTAATTAATGATTAAATTCGAAAAATGATTAACTGATTAATTGATTAATCAGAACCATGTCCTAATCTCTTACCATATCATCGGCACCCCAATTCCAAACAGGGAGAAGAAGCTTTTTTTGGGGACCCATTCTGTTTGCTCACTAGAAGAGCATTTAGGAAAGAAACTCCAGAATCCCAATTCGGGAAGGAACTCCCCTCCAACCGGAATCGCATCCAGCGTCGTCATCCCATCCGATACGAGATCCGGCTTTTGCCGATTTCGAACCCAACTTTTCTTTTTCGGGCTTTTCGGTCGAGGGATCCGAGAATGTCACCATCCGAGAATGTCACCATCCGAGAATGTCACCATCCGAGAATGTCACCATCCGAGAATGTCACCATCCGAGAATGTCACCATCCGAGAATGTCACCATCCAGTGCCCTCAGAGTGCCCGGAACGTCACGTTTCGCTGCGTGGAAGTGGAATTCCGAAGTGCCGAGTATTCGATGCTGCAGAGGGGGTATCCCCGTGGAAGATCTGCAACTCAGATTCGTCATCTTCAATCAAGGTAAAATTTTAACTGCGGGACAAGAATTCGCCCTTTCCTTAGAATTCACCCATCGCCAGGACGGAACGGTGCGATCGTGACGAGATTCGACGAAATGCATCGCCGTCACGGATCTCGAGCCGACGGACGCCCGGAAAACGTTCCCGTCGGTCGACGAGCCGGATCTCGAGGCGAATTTCGCAATCGCGGTCGCGACGGGTGAGGGACGGGTTGCGCTGTCGTGCCGTCCGTGAGGTCGTCCGAGGTCGAGGGTCATGTTTTCCGTGTTGGACTTCCTGAAGACGTCGGGGGAGTCGTCGATCGTGTCGGTTTGGACCAGAAGGGACACGAACTCCGGGGCGGGTATGCCCTGGACATCGGAACAAGATGCTGAATTACTTTTCGGAGCCGTATGGTCTCGGTTTCCCGTTGCCGAAGTTGGACATGATCGCGTTGCCGAAAACGTTTCGAAAAGAAATGAACCCTTTGTGCGGTATGGCCGTACCGGTACGTCCTGCATCTTCGAATTCAAATTGCCACATCTGTACAGATGCAGTCAAGTTTGAGCCTAAATTTGGACAGTATTTGGATGGCAGTACTTAGTCAGTACTGCCATCTTCAAGCTAGAACAGAAAGTAACAGAAATTAAATACAAACTTTGGGGCGATTCGTGAGAGAGGCTTTTCAGTGTGACTCTCACTGACAGATGCCCATTCCATATAGAAAAATTAAGCAGACGGAGGTGTGCTCTCGATTTTCAATGACGAATCTGGAAAGCTTAGGCATTACGTGACAAACTCCCTCACAGGAAATGAGAAGGAAAAGGGGGATTAAGTCAATTACTTCTTCCACATTTCACCTCTTTCATATATATTTTTAATATGTGGAATACCACACCCTTGAAGCACTACTGATTACCAAAGATTACTAATGCTGAATTAAAGTTATTTTGACATACTTCGGAGGTAAACGCTGTTTTGATTCATAAAAGTAAAAAAATTTAGAGCCGGAACTCGTCCGCAAAAGAAGACTCACTCCTGGGGGTATGCACAGTCCCGCTCAAAGGGTTAAGAATTGGCGTCTGGTGACGTTCAAATAATAACGTATGCTTCAAAACGGGAACGGCCCGACGTCGGCGTCCAGAACGCTTGGAATCGTTGCGATCGTCGGTCACGAGCTGGCTCACATGTGGTTTGGGAACCTGGTCACGACGAAGTGGTGGGACAACATCTGGCTGAACGAGGGGTTTGCCTCCTACGTCGAATATTTGGGGAGCGCGGCCGTGGAACCGAATTGGGGATGGGAAAATCTCTACGTCGATCTGGATATGACCGGGGTCCTCTTCCTGGATGCTCTCGAGTCGACGCGATCCATCGTGATCACGGTGGAAGATCCGCAAGCCATTCGGACTTCATTCGGCAGGATCACGTATTCGAAGGGGGACTGTGTGGTGCGGATGTTGGAGCATTTCCTCGGCTCGAGCACGTTCCACGATGGGATTACGGCTTATCTGAACGCGCCTCAATACGGGAACGCAGTGCAAGACGATCTCTTCGCGAGGCTGAACGCAGCGGCAGTGGAGGATGGCGTGGACCTGGGCGGGGCGTCCTTCGACCAAGTCCTGAACGCGTGGACGCTCGAGGCGGGATATCCGGTCGTGGAGGTCTCCCGCGAGGGGACGACAGTCACCGTCAGCTAGAGGAGGTTCTTCCTGAATCCAAACCTGCAGGATGGCACTCGGTGGCACATCCCCATCACCGTGGGGACTCTGGCGCTGGGGTTCGACCAGACTCGGCCCGTGAGGGATTCGGCAGAGTTAAATGTCGATTGCATCTACCTTTTCTTTCCGATTTCGTTTTTGTCCCTTCTCACTCTGTGTCCTCGAGGGCCACAGATCTACGTGACACCTGGTGCAGGCAATCACGATGAGAAGGTGCGAGACGGATGCGTAGTTGCATGACTTCCCAGCGTTTTAAATTAAAAAAATTAGTAGTAATTGAGGTTAGTAATGTTAGAGGTTAAAAATGTTGGAGGTTTTGAGGTCATACAGAACGCAGAGGTAAATAAAGGCAACTTTGGTACTCCGTATTTCTCATACTAATTGTTTCCATAGCAACTGCGAAGAGCGTCTCATCCTCTTGTTGTTTTAAAGAAAACTAGTGGATTTGGCTTCGTCACAATTCACGACGAATAATACTTTTCGATCCCGCGCTGCCTGATCGCAGAGATATCGCTGCGGAGAAGTTCGGGGAGAAAACGAGTAAAAACGTCGCCACGTCGAAAGTCTCTTCGAAGCCAGCTGCAAACCCTTCAGAAAAGATTGGGGATTCCCAACTCGACTGCATGATCTCAGTCACTCGAGTCGAGTGGTTCTTCGGCGAAAAAACGGTCATTATTCCTCGATGAGAGCTAAGAACCGACTGATAAGATAAGGAATCAGACTAGTCTCATCCCACGTCATCGTTGCCATACGACTTCGAAGCGTGCCAGTGAGAAGGATGGGGCTGTTTCGAGTCGTATTTTTTCTGTTCGCCGCGAGTGCATTTGCGAAGCCTGCTCCGGAGTCGAAAATCGGGAAGGAAATTCCCTCCGACCGGATTCGCATCCCGCGTCACGTGATCCCTCTCCGATACGAGATCCGGCTCTTGCCGATTTTGGATCCGGATCGGGGCTTCCCGGTCGAGGGATCCGAGAATGTCACCATCCAGTGCCTTCAGAGTGCCGGGAACGTCACGTTCCACAGCGTGGGAATGGAATTCCCTCGGTACCAAGTCTTCGACGCGGACTGGGAGGAGATCCCGGTGGAAGACTTGCAGCGGGACCCGGACCGAGGCTTCGTCGTTCTCGTTCTCGGTCGAGATCTAACCGCCGGGCAGGAATACACGCTTTCCCTGGATTTCACTTATCCGCTGGACGAAGCAGCGGGATTCTACCGAGCGTCTTACGTCGAGGACGGAACGACGAAATACATCGCCATGACGGATTTCGAGCCGACGGACGCCCGGAAAGCGTTCCCGTCGTTCGACGAGCCGGATCTCAAGGCGAATTACTCCATCACGGTCGCGAGGGGAGAGGGACAGGTGGCGCTGTCGAACATGCCGTCGGCGGGGACGTCCGACGTCGAGGGCCAGCCGGGAATGGTGTGGGAAACGTTTCAGACGTCGGTGAAGATGGCGACGTACACGGTGGCGTTTTCCGTGTCGGAGTTCGTGGAGACGTCGGGGGAGTCGTCGATCGTGTCGGTCTGGGCGAGACGGGACTTGAGCGCCGGGGCGGGATATGCTCAGGACATCGGAACGAAGATGTTGGATTACTTCGCGGAGTTGTACGGAGTGGGATTCTCGTTGCCGAAGCTGGATATGATCGCATTGCCGCAATTGGGGCCCGGAGCCATGGAGAATTGGGGCCTGGTGACGTACAGAGAGGAGCGACTGCTGCAAGACGTGAACGGCCCGACGTCGGCATCCAGAATGATGGGGCTCGTTGCGATCGTGGGTCACGAGCTGGCTCACATGTGGTTTGGGAACCTGGTCACGACGAAGTGGTGGGACAACATCTGGCTGAACGAGGGGTTTGCCTCCTACGTCGAATATTTGGGGAGCGCGGCCGTGGAACCGAATTGGGGATGGGAAAACCTCTACGTCAATCTGGATATGATCGGGGTCCTCTTCCTGGATGCTCTCNAAGTTGCGGGCCGTTTTTTTTTTTTTTTTTTTTGCTCGAGCAGCCGGCTGGGATTGGGGATAAATGCAAGCACGACCGTGTAGGCATGGATTTTTTTATTTATGGAAAAAAATCCGCTTCGGCCACATCAACAAGAACATGAATATATTCACGGTATTTATAATATCTGGCATATTCTTTTCAGGGTATATATGTATATTCACGATATTCCAAATAAAAGATTCGGAAATCATAAATAAGTTCCTAAGTGAATTCTTTGGCACAGATTTTCCTGTCCTCTCGGGAAACTACAATCACTAAGCTTTTTACGGAATAGAATCCTTTTTGAGAATTAGGATCAGGATTAAGATCAGGATCAGGATCAGGATTAGGATTCCAAGACGTGCTTGAGGTAGGCGATGTAGCAGATGGCGAGTCGGAGGATCTCGATCTTTGAGAGCTTCTTGTCCGGCGGGAGGGTGGGGAGAAGCCGGCGCAGCTGGGCGAAGGCGGCGTTGAAGGCCTCGACGCGGATCCGCTCGCGCGTCGCGTGGGCCGAGCGGTACTTCGCCGTCGCGCGTCGCCGCCGTCGCCGCTCCTCGCGGCTCAGTCCCGAGAGGGGCGTGGAGGACGACACTTCGTCTCGCTTCGCCTCTCTATCCACGAGAAATATTATTTTTATTATTTTAATGAAACTTTAAAATTAAAAATTAAAATGCATAAAAATTTGAAATTAAATGTATGTACCGTTCTGTGTCGACCCACTCGATTCTGCATAACTCTCAAGGCCCCATTTTAACAAATCTCTCGAGAAGAGTAGAAACAGGCGCCGCCTTTGCCCACGGACTCACAAAATGAGCACTTTTCAAAACCAGACGAGACGAGATGTCCGGAACATGCGGTCTTATGGAACGCAGGACAGTCGCTGAGATACCGAAATCTCTGAAACAACGATTAAATTAATGTCAAGCTGATATTGCCACTCTCGGTCTCCCTCCCCCTTCCCCTCCCCCCTCCCCCTCCCCCTCACCTTCCCCCCTCCTCCTTCCCCCTCCCCCTCACCGATAATTATTTAGCCGTGCTTAATACTTGAGAGTTACGCATACATGGTGCTTAGCGCAATGTCAAGGAGGATTTACGCTGGGAAAAAGCGTGTTTGTTCGTGGGGGTGGAGAGGGCGGCGCTATAACGGGGATGAGCTCATTATGAGCTCATTATGAGCTCATGGAGAGGAAGGAGTCGGCGACGAGCGAGGGTGGCGGGGTGTCGACCGAGGAAACGCGACGCTGAACTCGCTGCTGCACTTTCAGTACTTCATCCAGTACTTGCTGCGGTACTTTCTTCGATTGCTTCCCTTTTTTAACGTTACAAGTTACGTTACGTTACGAGTGAAGGTCGTGACAGCCGTCATCCAAGGTGACGGAGGAGGCTTCCGAGGACATCCATCGGGAGATGAGGTTTCACTTGCGCCTCGAAAAATTTTAATTTTTTAAATGAATTTCTTGAACGATCGACCGCGGAAATTTTTTGGGGATTCCCGGTCGAATGGGGCAGATCGGCTCACGCTCACGCTCACGCTCACGCTCACGCTCACGCTCACGCAGGGCTCTGGTCCCGGTCCTGCAAGTATCAAAACGGGACACGCGGGAATTCCAGCGGTTCCATCTCGTTTTCCTCTAATTGTATTTGTCCTTCGTCCTTCGCTCTTCGTCCTTTGTCCTTTGTAATAAAGGAGACAGGAAGTTACTTGCTCGTCCTCGACGTCTCCGTCGGAAAAAACACAAGGATTATCGACTAACGAGATTAGAACTTATAAAGCCGAATTAGAGGGTTTTCGCCTATTAAGAAGAAAGAAAAACGTTTTAAAAAAAAATGGAATCCGCCAGCGATTCTGAGTCCAATCCGCAAAAGCCATTTTAAGCCATTTCTTACTTTTTAAGCTGTCAAATGAATTTCACGCGAGAAATTCGCGCACGGTTGGGAATTCCATTATTCTAATGGAAATGGTCCTTATCACCGGCTGTGACCGAAGCACTTGCATTGTAATTGAAGCACTTGCATCGTAATTGAAGCACTTGCATTGTAATTGAAGCACTTGTACGAGGGATGTTCATTTACTAGGGCTGTAGTTCCGAAGCGAGCCGTGCCATAACGGCACGGAACGACGGAGCGCGATCTTCACGTTGCTGCCTGCAAGTCGAATGCCGAATGCCGTCAGTGAGGCCCGACCCGTGAATGCGTTTTCTTTTTACTCTTCGTTGCGATACGCCATTGCGCGAGGCGTAGACTTCGACCGACATCCAGGCCGAAACGGCTCTCGTCGTTCGTCGAAGGCCACAGTGTACAGGTGGCCACAGTTTATCGGTGGCCACAGTGTATAGGTGGCGCGAGCGCTTTCGGGAATGACGCCCGATCGGTCGCAGATGACCCACGCTCGAGCCTCACATCGACATCCACCTCGATCCCGATCCGATTCATCGGCGCCACTTCACGGACGGGCGACGATCCTCCCGAAGCGATTCGTCTCAGGCAGCCACGTCTGTCGAGGTGGATGTCGATGCGAGCGCGGGTCATCTGCGACCGATCGGGCGTCATTCCCGAAAGCGCTCCTGCCACCTATACACTGTGGCCACCTCCTATACACTGTGGTCACCTATACACTGTGGCCTTCGACGAACGACGAGAGTCGTCTCGCCCAGGATGTCAGTCGAAGTCTGCGCCTCGCGCAATGGCAAATCGCACGACATCGTTCGATCCCTCGTCAAACATCCATCGCAAACGAGAGAGAGAGAGAAAAAAAAAAGGGATTCAGCATTCGGCTTGAAGCGAGATCGACACCATCGAGCTTTTACGATCGCGCTCGGCCTTTGTGACCTTTCGGACCTTTCATCCCGCCCTTTCGCCACGGTCCGCGAGCACGAAGGACTCTCACCGGAAATGGTCGAACGTCCCCTCGTCCGCCTCGTAGTCACGAAATTCGGACTCGGAATACCAATCCTCCTCCGGACCCCTGGCAGCCCGCCTGACCAAAAAAAAAACATTAAAATAACATATGTTTAAATATATATATATATAAATATAAATATGTAAAATATAATTGCATACATGTAAATATAAACATATAAGTATATACATACAAGCATATAAATATAAATACATAAACAAACATATCAACATAAATACATAAAAATAACGATGGGAAACCTGACCTCGGATGGCGCATCCAGAGAGAAGACCCCTCGGCCCCATTCCAAGCCTGATGCTCGGCGAGGAAGGGTCCGCAGTCCTTGCCCTCCGGCCCGGCTCCTTCCACGCTGCAGCCCTTCATGCCGAGAAGTGGATATGAGATGCAGCATCCGTCGCGATCATCCCCGGGTGCCCCGCCCCGTCCGGTCTCCCATTGGTCCCGGCCGTCCCCCCCGGCCCCCCTCCCCCCTCCCCCCTTTCCCCTCTTTGGCAAATTTTTTTCCATCTCCCTCGTGCCGCCCCCAATCGCGTTCCCGCGAGGGGATCCGGATCGAATCGGGCTCTGACTCTTCTCTCTGCCGCTTGTTTAGATTCTATTTGAAACATTTACGCTTTGTGAAATTATTTACTCATTTTATCATTTATTTATTTCTCACGAAAATCGTCCACTATGGAGCGCATCGCCCTTGGCCCTTCGAACTTTTCTCTGGATCCGACTCCATCCCGAAGGCTGTCGTAATCGAAGGCGAACAGAACCTGTCAAATTTCCCCACCGCTTCGCCTGAGTTTCTTGCGTGGGAAAGGAAATGGGACTTCGTGTCTGCCTCGAGGAAATGTATCTTTTTTTCTTTTTCGCGGGTTCAAAGCGGAGACCTCGCGCCGAATCGGCCTTGCCAAATCGCCAAAGCTCTCGAGCGAAGATCGGCTGCATCACTCCCCAGAAATTCGCCGAAGCCTCGAGTCGGGTTCACACTCGTGCCAATTTTATTTTTGCCAATTTGATTGTATTACATGCAGTGCAGCAGGAGCATGAACTCGGCCTTCATTTCCCCCCTTTTTTTTTGGGACATCGACCACGCATCGACCGTCGAATCGCACGATAAAAGAAATTGCAGCTTATTTGTGGCGTGTATTCTGTCTCCTTTTATTCGGCCGGATCCCATCGGATTACGCAATGAAAACCGGAACAAGAAAGGAACGAACGAGGAAAGCCCCGTGTCGGGGCGGGGCGGGGCGGGGACGAGGGAAAGGGTTAACAAGCCCTTTCAGCAGCTGGTCCTAATCCCGTTATCCCGCCGCAACACCAGACGCACTCTCATCTCCATAATGGGGGGAGCGGGGCTAATCCCATGGCTAATCCCATGCAGGTCTTGTAAATCAGCCCAATTTGGAGAGTTTAGGAGGAAACATCGGGCATCGCAGATGTTCGGGCCATTTGGACGCCCGATGATCCGAGAAAATCCGAAATCGATGAGGGAGAAGAGAGATAACTCCTCGAGCTTCCTGCTCGAATCGGCACGACCCGCGAGGCGCCGAAAGTGAATACGAAATGCGGGGAAATTCATTACGAGGAATGAAACAAGGAATGTGGAGCAGGTAGACCGGGAAGATCATTTCCGGCTCGCAGCCCCACGAAGACTGCTTGGTCGATGGACCTCCGTCCTTTTATACCTCCCTCGTACCCCCCCCCCCC